CCGGGCCAATGGGGCCAGTGCCCAGGGGCCCTTGATTACCAGGAGCCCGGAGGGGCCCTGGGCTTTAAGGTTGCGCGATCCAGTTTGGTACGAAAAACCCATCAACAATGAAAACAAATGTTTATTTATGCTTGAATATATGTGTCCCTTAGCCTATACAATCCCTCTTGAACAAGGCTCTTGGTCTACGAGGGCTCTCTGGCACTCCTGTTACTATTGGGCCCTGTAAATATGAAGGCCTCCAAATCTTTTATAGAACCAGGGCTGTAGCTGGGGTATCCAGGGCCCAATTCAGGTTGTTGCTGTGGGCCCCCTTGAAAATGCGTTCCAGAAGGAGGGACCCTTCAAGCCCAGGGCCCCTAGAAATGTCATCACCTTTTGCCCCGCTAGCAATGGCCCTGTGTAGAACCATTGTCTGTCCCATACGGTTTCAAATTACATTTATTTGAACCACTCTTCGAGCTTCTTTCTTTGTGTAAAGGGTATAGGAAAAAGTGCTATTTGTCAGAATCAGAAAGAGATTTATTGCCATTGCACACACAAGAAATTTGTTTTGGTGACAGAAAAAGCTTATAGTGCAGACTCTGAGACAACAACAGTACACAGATAGTAAAATTAAAAATAAAGATAAAGATATGCGAATACGGGGTCATAGAGAGAGCAATTGAGTCTGTTTTAGCCTGGTAAAGATTTTAAATTTGGGCTAAACTCACTAGGGGGCCACAGAACGCGTTTTTCCATTCCAATGCGCTACTTTTACATTGTTTTTCTATGTAAACAAGCGCTAGACAGACGTGTATACCCGTTGCGCTCGCGTCTCGCAGTCTTCAGCGTCTCGCGCATGACACGGCGTTCTAAAAACACTTCTAGTGCTGTTTTTTTCTTTTACTATAATCAAACAATAATGTATACTGTTATTGTCAAATCAGGCCTTAAAAACGAATTAGTTCGTTCTGGCCAAAAATGCTATTTTTTTTCTCGTTCCGGTTCCATAGTTATCAGTTAAAAGAACAAAATATAAAATACTGCTTTATTTATTCCGAAACAGAAGTATTAAAAGTATTTTCATTTGAAACCTATATATTCATAAATAAGTGCAGTTTATATAAGCTACCATTTTATTCTTCCTGTTTAATATTTATTAGACTCCAAGTTGAAATAAAAGGATGCTTAATGTTATGAAAAAAAGAGAGAAATCACAGCTTATTCTGGATTTTTACAGAATGACTTCGCGAGGAGGAAGACAAGAAAGAAACTCCTGTAAGAAATTGTTTAACCATGCTGGATTGTATAATTGTCAGGGCCTGCAAAAAAATGTTTGTAATTGTGTTTTCTTAAATTGCATTTTCTTATCCGTGATGATCTGATGTTTACATTTTACATGTGATGTTTGTCACAGAGTTGTTTAGTGACAAATCATTTTTTGATTCATGATGCACTAAATATGTGTATATTTGACAGTTAATTCATTAAAGACGTGTCAATTTGCCGCATTGTTGATTATTCGTTGTAGCTATTAGACTTGAGAGAAAAATATCAGAAAAGTGTATTAGTCCTATATTGATTCTGTAAACCCTGTACAATGTGCTTTTTTTTAGCGCAGAGGTAGCGCAGGCATTTGACGTTGAGTGATAACGGTTTGAATATTCATGATCGTAACTTCCACTTTCTATTACTGTGAATGGTATGGTGCGGTGGGGGGCCTTGGAGATAATTGGCCCCGGGGCCTTTGCAAGTCATAAGACGCGTAAGGCGCCGACGCTGATGGCTGCCTCCGTGGCGTGCTCCGCAGTTGTTTTTATGTTTTTGTTAGTTTGTCCTGTCTTTAGTTATATCCCTGCAATCAGTTTCACCAGAGACGAATTGCTGGACATTCGGATTTTTATTTATTTTAATTTTTTATTATCTGTGTTTTTTTGTTCTGTCACTGTCATTCTGTTACACTGTGGAAGCTTCTGTCACGAAAACAAATTCCTCGTATGTGTAAACATACCTGGCAATAAAGCTCATTCTGATTCTGATTCTGATAATCCGTCCCTGACGATGTGGGAAGATTTGCATAACGCCGCCCCCAAATGTTCACGCAAAGAATGAAGGCGTAACTTTTATTCTGTATGTAGTATTGTTGCTGCCGCCATGTCGTGAAGGCTCTGTGTGTTTCGTTGTGAAAGCGAAACTACTTTGTTTGGCCTTTCAAAAGAGGACGATATCCGCTTCGTCATGCCTAGAGCTGATCCGTGCCGGTCGCTGAGGGAATACATCAACTTCGCTCTGTGGATCGCCGGATCGGCTTTCACCGTGGACGAAGCGGAGTCCAGCCCGGGGTCGTCACCTGTGGTTGCCGTAAGCCCGCCCGCCGCCGCTCACTCTAGGCCGCCGGCCGCTGCTCACTCTAGCCGCAGGCCTCCGCTCACTCAAGGCCGCCGTGTGTGACATGAATTCGCCGTGGCCTTCCAAAAGAGGACACGACTAGAAATCAGTGGTTAAGTTGTA